ACACTAGTCACTCGGATACACTATAAGAAAAAAACATGCAGTTGCAGGCGAGCCCATGTGCATTCTGCACTTTTGCGTGCGCTCCAAGCACTGTTTTGGATTACACTTTGAGAAGTCATGGATTTCTGTCAGGGCGTCTTGACAATCAGGAGTCTATTGTCTGATTGGTGCATGTGGCCGTTGATCACAGATCGTCAAGAAGGTTTCGTTTGTCCTTGCAAAGACCCCTTCAACTCCCCTGTTTTACAGATCTTGCAAGCCCTTTGAGCTCACACTTCATTCTTTCCTAGCCAGTCTAGACACCTACAGAATGTTCAGGAATCGCAAACGCATCCCATGATGCCTTATACCGTCAAGAGTCCCACAGCCAAAACGAGTCACTGGTGTTGAAGGGGAATTAGGGAGTGAGTGTAATGTATGATATGATCTTCAGTGCCTAAGGCTTAGAATCTGGGTCTATTTATGCGTTGGGATCATTCACTGATTCGCTCAAGCCTAGCTCTAACCCCAATTATCTAGAGTTTTACGCGGTATACTTACTAATTAAGGGGGAATTACTACAAAGCTGTAGGTAATTGGAGTCGCAGGTAAGCTTTAAGCCCTCAGCCCAATTTGAATTCAGACTAGGATCAACTGGAGCATACCGCCCCCTCTGCGATTCATGCGTCAATGCCACGCAGACTGGACTGGGCTGAAGGGTTCAGGGCTGGGGGTTTATAATAATCATGACAATGATCATATAGTATGCCACAAAGAGCACAAAAATGTTATAATACTATAGAAATACATAGCAATACTAAGCTATTTTAGACTTCCTAGGACCTTAAGACCTGATATTCAGAACGAGGGTGTTGCAACTCAAGCATCTCAATGGCCATGTGGGGCATTTGAAGTGGCAGGATCAAGGATATAGTCCCCCTTAAGTAGATAGAATATGGCTTTGGGTATATCATTCTAAGATCCCCCTATACCCCATATTCTAGCTACTTAAGGGGGACTATAGATTTCCCAGGAAGGGTCATTGAGAGGTTCATCTGGTTCATGACGTTCAGAAGATTGATTTTTCACGATTTGATACTTGGATTCCGGAAGTCTTGCTTTGGAGAGGGTTGAACGATGAAAGCTTTCAAGGACCTTAGCAGCCGTGATGCTCAAAGAATGGGCCCTCTGCGATAGTTCAACCTTGATGCTTCCAGCACAAAAAATTCAAGCCACTCTACCCCCAAACTTTCCAACTTGGACCCTAAAAGCCCTAAAGCCTACACCCGACTAGCTAAACCTTAAACACCAGAGGCGATCCAAAGGTTGTGTCAAGGGTCGTTCTAGAACAACTCACTCAACTCGCCTTCGTGGCCTATGTCCTAAATGCAACCCCGGCGCCCAGTTATTTTGACTTTACTGGAAAGCGGCGATTCTTTGAGGGTCTTGCTCTTGGAGGCCCATAGGGCTTAGTAACTCCTCATAACTGGGCTTAGAACTCTACTTATAATTGAAATAACCCTTATAAGCCCATTTAGGGGGATAATATGTCGTAAGGTTCTAAGCCCAATTATAAGCAGTTACTAAGTCCCATGGGTCCCCAAGTTGGGGTTACATGTGGTGGTTGTTCAAAGTACCTGTTCCCAAAATGGCCATAAAGTAGGTTCCCCGTTTGGTTTTTGATCTCCTTTTAAGGAAGTGTATTCCCAATGGTCCCTTCTTTACCCTAAACCTTAAACCTTAAACCCTAAACAACCACTCCCATGTAGACTCCAAGAGCCAGTGTTGCGCAGGAGTCTCAAGTGGGCGGATTGGAGCTCTGTCGGGCTGCTTCTGCATCAACATGGGGTTTGCCCAGAAGTATATGGGGATTAGGGTTTAGGGGTTTAGGGTTTAGGGTTTAGGGTTAGGTTTTGGGGTTTAGGGTTTAGGGTTATGGCGTTTCCAGTGCCAATGTAGAGGGCCTTGTAGTCAATTTTAAGGTGTGTCATAGAGGATATGTAGGCTTACATTACCCCAAATTGGGGCTATTTTCAAGGGGTCTCACCCTAAACCCTAAAAACCCCAATTATGAGGCTTATATCTTTTTGGAGTGCCGCCATGTACAGAAACTGCCACATGAGAGAGAGCGGCCTGAAAGCGGATACAGGCTTCATGTTAAAGAGCTCAAGGCGTAGGTTCCCCCTTAAGTAGATAGAATTGTAGGTGTTATATAGCGAGGCCGGAAAAGAAAATGGAAACTACTATTTAGGGTTTAGGGTTTAGGGTTTAGGGTCCCCGTTAAGTAGATAGAATATGGGGTATATGGGGATCTTAATGTAAGATACCCAAAGCGATATTCTATCTACTTAAGGGGGACTATAGGGTTCTAGCGTTTGGGTATGAGGGCTTGGGACTAAGGCTTGGAGACTTTTTTGCGATTTAGGGTCGAGGCCACAGAGATGCTCGTCCCCAAGCTTTCTTCACGCGGTTTAGGGTTTAGGGTTTCGAAATCTGAGCGTTTTCCTTTTAGCTCCTGTGCCGTGTCTTTGGAAGGTCATGCAGGACGCAGCTTCCTTTTTTAAACCTCAAACCCCTAAACCTCAAGCCTCTTGACCCCAAACTCCGCAAAACCTAGATCCGCTAAAACTTCTAAGCCCTCTAAAGTCTTAAGCCACACCCTAAATCCCTACACCCCTAAAACCCTAAGCCGAGCCAAATTCTCTAAGTCCTCTAAACCACAAAGCCTCAACACCCTAAACACTTTACCGTTTCGTTGCCTGAGGTTCCTTTTCACAACCCATGGCTGTTCACTTTCAGCGGCCTTGGTCGAAACTTGGTGGCGCTTGAAGTGGCAAGGGGCTGGGATGTGTTAAGGGTTTAGGGTTTAGGTAAGGCTTGAGGTTTAGAGTTTAAAGAGCCTATGGGCTGTCATCTTAGGGTTTCGAGTTTTGGGTTCAAGGGTTAAGGGGCTGTCATTGAAGGGTTTAGGGTTTACAGGTTTGAGGATTTGACAAATGTCGACATAGGAATTGAAACCCTCTAGTTACGCTTGGCATGTCGTAGTGGTACCCTGAACCCTAAACCGTGTGGCGAAGTATTCAGGGCTGTAACTTGGAGGTGGGGTTATAGGGTTTAGGGTTAGGGTTTAGTTATATAGGGATAATGGAAAAGAAAATGGAAAAGAACATGGAAACTGCTTTTGTTTCTTAGGGTTATATAGGGGTATCATATAGTATAAGCACATTCGTATGAGTCATGCAACTTCCAAGGCTTGAGCTACTGCACCTAAGTATGAATCATATGGCGCTATGTGTGCTATGGTAACCCGTGTTTTTGGGGCTATTATGAGGCATCTCGGTGGTAGCTTCGTAGAGCATTGATCACAACAGAGGGTGTCCAGATTTGGGTTTGATTTCTCGCGGGCCCTTATGGCCGAGGTTGAGTTTTCGAAACGGCCTTGGGTTTTTATGGAAGCTTCCATATCCCAACCCTAAACCCTAAACCCTAAACTCTAGACTCTCAATTAAATCCTATAGACCCTAAGCCCTAAAGCCTAAACCTCCTCCAGGCTTGTCTTTGCGGATGTGCGCACCCCTGGTCTGTGTAGAGCCTTTATGAGAGGCAAAAGCGAATACCCAAATGAAGAACCCAGAATTTTGCTGAGCCCCCGGGAGCCATAGCAACTCAATTTCAGGATAGTACCTGAACCCAATTTCAAAAGTACGTAGAATAGAGGCCGAAGAATGGCTGCGTTGGCTGCTGTTGCAGGTTGTGGTCCACTATCATGCTTACTTTTGAGGTCCGCGTGGTACAGACTGTCTTGGGCTCGCGAAACAAATCCGAAGACTGAGTTTTCAATTTCAGTTCTTCCAAAGGGGCATGTGCAAAGATGGGGTTTAGGGTTTAGGGTTGGAGGCTCCCATTCCATTTCCTTTTTCTTGAACTCCTCATCTGATCTTCCAAAACGGAGGGCTCTTGACTCTCCTCAAAACCTTGGGCGCAGCTTTGGGCACAGATGTGGTGTGTTGATTTGTGCAAACCATAATATATTATACTGTATTACAAGAGACTATAGCATACTATAAAGATTGACAACTTCGCTCGCTTTCAGACCGATGCCACGTTTTGTGTCACGTAGAAGAGAAGTCGTAGAATGATGGGCCCACTTTAGGGTGTGGCTTTTACCAGGCATGAAATTATGTTGGCTGTATCTTATCTTTACATAAGCCCTATGTAAACCCTTCTTAAACCTTAAGTAGACCCTAAGGCCCTATAAAACAAGGACAGGGGAGCCCAGGTTTGAGGTATTCCGAAGCCGAGGTGATCCTGAGGCTCCAACTCCCAAACCTAAGAGCGCTTCCAAATCCTCCTTAGCAATACGAAGCCTCCCCTTGAAAGTACCTGTAACCCCCTAACCTCTACACCCTAAACCCTAAACCCCCAATTACCTACAGCTTTCTGGATCATATTTGCGATGTAGAGGGTACTTACTACGAGACGAGAAGTGATTGGGGCTACAGGGTTTAGGGTTTAGGTGGCACACCCTAAACCCCAAAGCTTGCAGGAATTCGCGCCCTTCGGCCGCTCTGTGCCAGATTTTGATTACTTTCATTTCTCTGGAACCTTGGTCCTTTCTGTAGTGCTCAATGAGCACATGACGAACCCTTCGAAGACAAGATTCGGAAGATGAATAAGGCTTCGAGCTTAGCAAATGTCAGCTTTACGCTATGAATTCGACTGAGATTGGAGCTGTTGCTTCTTCTGCAAACCCATGTCTAAACAATTTTGGTCCTTGCATGCCTAGCTATAGTCCCACTATATCGGAGACAAGCTGTATCGCAGGACATATGTCCTTTGACAGCCTTATCACAAGCAGTTGACTACCGCGTTAGAGGAGAGGGCATCTTTGCATTGGTCCCTGGTCTGAGGATGCACGACCGTCAAACATTTCCAGTACCCCCTGGCCCCATACCCTACATGAGCCCTAAATCCAACTCTGAACCTTGCTCTCTAGTAGAACAGACTCCCAAACTGCGCAGGCAATTTGGTTTTTCCCTATACCGCCTCTCTGGCATGCAGCTAGGCTGCCATGGTAGGACTTTGTGCTGACTGCTTGAATGGCATTGTTGTTGCCAATAAGATTACGCTGATGCGTTGGCAGTGGTTTAGACATGATTTTGTAGGGTTCGAGTGCTCAGTGTGAGAGTAACGTCAAGGATAAAGGCTCAAAGTTTGGCATTGTGCAGCAAAGGCACAGGCAATGCTAGCAGTACCAGTCATCAAGGACGGTCGTAGATTGTATACTGGGTCAAAGTTGAAGATAGGCTTTATTTCTATCACATTGAAACCCAATGTGGAATACAACGCCATCATCTGACTTTTTTTATTGGGATTCCCATGAGAACCAGTGGAGATGCATGCTGCATTCATGTATACAGCTCCAAGCGCGTCGGAGAACGCTGTGGGTCCAGGTTTTTTGCTTAGGGCATATAGAAGTGTCTCACCTGGTCGATTTAATGGCTGCAAGAAGACCCCAGCTCCCTTACATCCATACTTCTGGGTTCTTGCGAGGATTCTTGCAAGGATAGAAGCTTCGTGGCTGTCATTGAACGTTAATCAGCTCTGGTCAAAGTTCTCAAGACACGGAAACGAAGCATTCAACCTTTTGAGTCTAGAACCTTGCCAAACCAGGATCAATGCCATGTTTGTCCATCGCGATGTGGCGCCATTGCTTGGCGGAGCTGAGGTTCGCGCCTTGGGGGCGCAGGGTTGCCTTACTTGCAATCAACATAGTGGTTCGGAACGCTAGTTGTGATCGTTGTGGTAGTGGTGGTGGTGGTGGTGGTGGTGGTGGTGGTGGTGGTGGTGGTGGTGGTGGTGGTGGTGGTGGTGGTGGTGGTGGTGGTGGAGGTGGAGGTGGAGGTGGAGGAGGAGGTGGAGGAGGTTGAGGAGGTGGAGGAGGAGGTGGAGGAGGTGGAGGAGGTGGTGGTGGTGGTGGTGGTGGTGGTAGTGGTAGTGGTGGTGGTGGTGGTGGTCACGGCGGCGCTGGTGGCAGCGGCGGTGGCGGTGGCTCCTGCCCCTCTCAGAGTAAGAGTTGAATAAAGCTTTAGAGTTGAGGTATGCGTAGATGAGACTCGTTTTGCGCAGCTTGCAGTGCGAGGGTTTGGGCCCGTTCCGGTTTGGCGCAGAAATTCGTATCATTCCTTCTTTGCTGTTCAGAAACTTTACCTAAGTTACCATAACATGATATGTAGTACAAACAGGGTGGTCATGGTAAGAAAGCTTGACTTCCTCGGCAGTAGGCCAGTCTGACGTCCTGCGATCTGACCCCCCCCCAGACCCTCAGTCCAACTCGCTGCATAGTATCTGCGGCAAGCCAAGCCTATCTGAAAACGTTCAAGATACAGCCAGTTAACTTATAGTGTCTGCATTGCTTTGTAGTGCAACTACATTGCAAATCCCCATTGTGAAACAAGGTTGATGAGGTCTTCTGCTTCAACAACGTGTGGCAGGATTGCTGGACAAAGTTTCTGCTAGGGCTTCAGGGTCTCAAGTCCGGTTTGCTGTTCAGACGCCCGACAGGAGAACAGCGGAATCATGAAGGCTAACACCGATTTCACAGCAGTTCTAGAGGGCGTATTATACAAGAGGCCTATGTAGGAGTCCGCCAAAAACCTCTAGTTCAAGTCTCAAAACAAAGTCTAAGGAAGATGCAGGCACAGAACACCTAGGACCTAGGAATGCTGCTCGGGATTGCGGCTTGCTCTCGTCAGCTGCGCACGTGAAGACCAAAATGTTGGTTCCCTCAGCAGTTCTTTGGGGCACTCAAGTCACCCGGAAATGTCTTGGGATGAGCTTTGGGACTTTATTCGCAGAAGAATGTTCACGTGGAATTGTTGAGATGCCGGATGCAGCGCTGGCTCTGGGATTAACCCCTAAACCTTTGGCTATTGTCCTAAATTACTGTCAATACGGGGTCCTATATTTAGGTTCCTATTGTAATACGGGGCCCTATATAGATTTCTCCATTTTGGGAACAGTAATTTAGGGAAACTTCCCTTTAACAAGCCCTGGAATTTAGGGTTGACTGCCCAGGCCCAAACTCACGCCCTGTTAAGGAGTTTACGGCTCATATCAGGTTCCGCATGGCTTGGCTGCAGTTGAATGTTTCCAGGATCTTGGCCGGACATTAGGTAGGATTTCGATTTCCCCCCACCACAGATGGGCACTTCCTATGTTCTGCACTCGCCAAAGAACTTCTGTTATATATATATAAGGAACACAGAACCTACTTCACATGAGGGCTCCTTGGGAGGTTTGAATGACCTTCCCCCAATCTCGTACGATGGTGTATTTGGTAGAGCAGCTTATGTAGCGCGGGTAAGGTCAGTTTTGCAGGAAGGAACCTTGGGTTTGGGGCTCAGGGCTTCGTGCTTTATAACTTGGATCCAGGTTCCAATTCTTGTGTACGGGATTATAGAGGAGTTTGGTCTATAGCTCATATGGGGATTTGCCAAGTTAGGGTTTTGGGTGTCCCCATGATAAGGATGATCGTATTTTTCAGTCTACATTGAGGTTCCTTGTGTTGCGGAACAACCATATACATAAATGAGCCTTAAACTGGTTGGGTTCTCCGTTATGACTACACGGCGGTTGCACCCTAAAGTCTTCCTCACAGCTTGTTGAAAACCCTAAACCCCTAAACCCCTAAATCCCTAAACCCCTAAATCCCTAAACCCCTAAATCCCTAAACCCTAAACACTAAACCCTAAAGCCTAAACCCTAGCCTTGAATTCTGGTGCGTCAGTGCTGGCTGGACACCCAAAACCCTGCTATTACCATCGTGATTGTAGCGCCGTGAGAGACTGCCTTAGTGCTCTGCTTTGGGGTTAAAGATCTCGAAGCCCTTTAAGCCCTGAACCCTTTGACCTTAAACCCCGATGAAAACACTTCACAAAATGAACCTTTTAAAGATGATCTGAACCCTACGGATTCGGTCTTCTTAGAGGTGTTGAGCTTTCTCGCTGCGAAGGACCACTCAGTAATCCGCTACCTCCACTGGGAGCTCATTCACGACTGGCGGACTGGATCCGTTGATGACGCTTGACGCCTTTAGCTGTAACCTTCAGACTTGCGTTTGGGGTTTCAGCGTTTGGAGGCCATTTACGGAGCTAAATTGCTTGTGAAAGCTGCAGAACCTACAGCAAAAGGATTGCCCCTTAACATCACATGTTCAATCCCTTGTCAAGTTAAACTCTAAACCCTAATCCCCCGCTACTTGAGCTGGACCCTGTAACCTACACCCTCACATTTGTCAAACGCAAGGCCTGCAATCGTGAAGACGAAAGCGTCCACAAATCTACCCTAGAATTTTCAGACAGAGTGAGGCAGGGACCTCTTTGCCTGAATAGAACTTTTTCCTGGGGTGGTGATGGGCAGGGAAAGAGTCCTCGAGGAAGCCACCATATGAAGCTTATTGTTCGGATTCCAGCCTGTGCTAGCTCTAAAATGAAGCTATGCATTGGAGTACTTGGAGGGTCAGGGGGACGTAGTAAGTAGGCGAATAATCCCAAATACTCCAAAAAGTAGTCCAAAAAGCAACCCTACTTATCCCCCTCATTAGCTTACCTACTAAGTCTCTCATAAAACCCTCCAAGTATGCCTTCAGCTGAAAGCGCCAAGTGCCACGCCAGGCCGCAAGAGGTCGGTGTAGGGTTCAGGCTTCATGCACGCAGATCATGGTTTAGGGTTTAAGCTTTAGGGTTTAGGATTTAATCTAGGGACTTTAGGAGGGACCCCTAATAGTGACCCTTAATCCCATTACCATATATCACCCTTACATAGTCATTATATAACCCCTATATC